AGTGGTGCTGGCCCCTACCCTGGGGGTCTTTAAGAAGAGGCTGGATGCCCACCTAGCTGGACTCGTTTGAGTCCCATTTCTCTTTTTGGGGTTTTTGTTGTTCTCCCGCCCTGGCGGGGGGTCGGGCTAGAAGATCTACTAGGTCCCTTCCGACCCTTAATCTATGAATCTATGAATCTATGAATCTATGAGATGTTCCCCATATCTGCCCAAGTCCAGAAGCTAGGACTTTCATGAACACCACCAAATAGCTCAAGAGCCGGCAACACCAAGTTTCTGGAAATCTCCCCTCTGGCTTCCCCATTAACATTGCTTGAACTATTTATTTTAAATGAGAGGGGAAGCCATTCACTCTAGCTCACACAGATGTCTGGTAGACACACTGGCTTTAGACCAGTCTAATGCAGGCACTGCAAGGACCTTGATGATTTAAACCTTAATGACAAAGGTTCCTGGAGAAGCAAGTCCTTTGCTAGAGGATGCTGAGCATGTTTGCCGGCAGGAAACGAAAGCCAAAGAGACCCCCAGTGCAAAGATACATTGTAGGACAGATGGCAACGTCAACAGAGGGGAAATGTCTAATGCAAGAGGACACAACTGCAGCGTCTGTGAGAATCTGATAAAGCTTTGAGAGACAGTAATGAAATAAGGACAGTACCAAGTGACACACTGGGTCGCAGCCAAGACGTCGTCACAAGCAAACAATGGAGCAGCGAGTACAAGTGAGGAACTCTAGGAAGACGAGCATGTGAACTTCAATCTGGCCCGTTTCCTACTTTGCATCCATGCAGCACCCTGCTCACCCCTGCCAGAACACAACCTCCTCAAACAAGAGGAAAGCTCACCTGATCGGGTTCATTTCTGAAAGCTCTTCCCTCCCGCGCTATTCAGCTGGTAAGTTGGGGCATGGAAAGGGTAGAGAGTAAAAGCCTGGAACCATTTATTCCAGAAGAGTAAAAGGAGATGGGACAGAATGGAACGCAATAATGCAGCGAAGCCCAATTGATTGCTGCTCTTTCCCATTTCCTCCAACAGAAAAGCAAGAGGGCACAAAGTACAACTGGAAGGCGGCGCGCTCCAAATGCTTTTTTTCAACGCAATACATTATTAACTCGGGGAATTCGCTGACGCGGGACATTATGGAGGGCGAGCGGCTTAGCCAGTTCCACACAACTCTGATCTGAGGCAGCAGCAGCTCGAGAGAAAGCTGACTCAGTTAGCTTCAGTGCAAGCGCTGGGGCACAGGCAGGGGAGGACGTAGCGAGGTACAGGGAAGAAGTTTCACCATGGAATAACCCAAGGCCGGTCCTATTGCTAGGCATTAGCACCAGTCGCAGTGAGTATTGCATCCCCTCACTGCAGGCCTGCATTTGGCACTATGGGAAGGCTACGTCTTCCTTTGCTGAAGCCTGCATTGTAGGCGCTTGTACATGTTGCGTATCGGTTACGTGCACATTACAATACAGCACGAAAACTTGACATTTCATTTTAGTTTAGTGGTGTGAGCAAATACATGCTGACCTTTTTTTTATCACGGTAGGTTCTGATTTATCGTGACAAGTTAGACCACCTCCGACATGTTTGAGTTGTACTGTGGCCAACTGTTCCAGCAGGTTTCCTTGTAGCGTGATACTTCCGTTACACGTTGTCCCAGGGAAAGAAGTAACGAAGGGTACTTACCAGCAGCAGGAGATGCAGGACAGCAGGGGCAGAATGCAGAGCCCGCGCAGCTCGTCAGCCGCCTCTTTATCCAATTACGGCCGGCCCATGACGTCAGCTTCAGATGCCGGGCGGCCGGCAAAAATAAAAATAGCGGCTGATGCCGTGGAGAGGGGGAGCAGCACGGGAGAGGAGCTGCAGCCACCACAGAAAGAGGAAAGGTTCCTCCCCACGAGACCCGCGGAGCCTGACAAGCTGGGGGCAGACACTGGCAGCACAGGGCAGAGCACCCCAACAGGAGCACGCATGGGACAGTGACGGAGGAACAAGCACGCCGGCCACAGGGAGGGAGCTAGAGCCGCACCCGGAGTCCTAGCAGACCCCAGGTGGGAGTGTCGGGATGACTGGGGCGAGGAGGACGCCGCACCAGGGGGAGAAGACCCCAGGAGAGCCCTGAGGGGCTTACAATGGGGGCGGGTATTGCCACCAGTCCCAGCCAGGCGGACGGGAAAGCAGGAGTGAATCCCGGAGGCGACAGGTCAGGAGTAAAGCAACCCCCTCCGCTAGAGCCTGGAGAAGGATAGTAAGGGGGCAGGGTACAGCCACGTCAGGAAGTGGATCACTATTCTATGTTTTGTTATTGCATTTTATTTAGTTGCCCCATGCGAAGAGGAATGGGGGAGAGTGCAGGTATCCCCAAGGAATGGGGCTGAGGAGGAGCTTCGGAAGGTTTTTTTGCGTTTCCCCGAAAGAAGGGGGGGAGGCAAGGAGGGCCGAGGGAGCAGGCCCACACGGCCGAACGTGGCTATAGGCTACAGGCATCTAGATGCCAAGCCGTAGGGCATTATCCCACCGGACAGGACGAGGCCAACAGACGGACGACGCACCGAAGGAGGCGTGAGGCCAGGGTGTAGGGGTGGTGGAGCCCCACGAATGACCGCCGGACGAACCACAGGCCACCGAGTACACTCGACGACCAATCCCGCCTACTGAGGAACACCAAGTCACGGCAGGAGAGAACGGGGGAGGTGACTCGAGGGGAAGACATCTACTCGGTCTGCAACGAGTCCGTAAGGCACTTTACGTCTACCACCAGAGCGAAGGTTGCCTGAGAGCGGCTATTCGAGGCCCGGCGGCCACACACGTATTCTCACACTACCACAGGAGCGCCTAGAAGCCCAACCAAGATCAAGGCCCCACTGTGCTGGCTGCTGTACCAACGCATGGTGCAAGACAACCCAGGGCCTTAAAGAGCATACAATCTAATTAAAATCAGGCAGGCAGAGGGTGGGAGAAAGGAAGGAGTGAGCATCCCTATGTTAGAGGGGCAAACTGAAGATGATTTAGCCCAGCAGGCTGTGGACGAGCTGGCAAATGATGCAGCCCCACTGCTCTACCTGCATGGCTTCAGTCTGATCTGGAATCGCACCATTTGCCTCTCACACACAGCTCACCTGCCTGTGCTCCTGCGACTAAGGAGGAACGGGCATCTTTCTAAAGACTGCAGTTGTATGGCAGGCTGCACAACTCCCCTTCTGAAACCTCAGTGGAGCCTTGAACTTCACCTGGCCTCTAGGATTTGGGCGCTAAGCCTTATTGATAATACACTGTATACCAGAAGCATCCTGGATGACTGCCTGAGCCCAACTACAAGGGGAAGGAAAGGATCCACGAGTGATCCATAAGGGTGTGAAGGAAGCCCGAGCTCTCACTCCCAGAGATGTGGCAGCCGCTGAATGCAATGGGGCTGTTTATGCAGCCGCTTTGCTTTGTTTTGTCTGGTGCAACTGGCCATGTAATTAATTTTTATCTATGGAGCTCCTGAGACTCCTTTGGTCCTTTTATAATTAGGTGTCTCAGTTTCAAGGACATCCAAGCCACGCACCAGAACTGAGCAGGCTGCTTATCTATCTCCCGACATCCTCCTTGGCCCCTTGCAGAGTCCCCGGCTGAAGGAGGACAGTCAGGTACCACAATCATGACGCATGTCATCAAAATTGCCAGGAAAAACATCATGGCCTTGCTGGGTGGACCTCAGTCTTGACAAAACCCTTCCCAGCCACTTCTAATATCAATCCTGACTCCAAGCCTTCTTGCCATTCCTATCTTGGGCTCACTCGTATGGCTAGCAAGTCTGGAGGTCTGGCACCCCATGGCTATTCCAGCCTTTTTCCAACTCACAACTCCTGACCCACAGCCCTCCCCCTCTTTTTTCATAGAAAAACAGTACTGGAAGATCTCTCATGAGGCTATCTCGTCCACTCCCACTCGCTCAAAGCAGGATCATCCCCATCTAAACCATGATGTTCAAGTGTTTGTCTAATCTGCTCCTCAAACTTCCCATGGCTTCTCTAGGCAATCTGTGCCCGTGCTTGACCACCTACACAGTGAGAAAATTCTTCCCAATATCCAATATAATGTGAGACCATTATTTCCTGCCCTATTCCCCGAGGCCAACGAGAATAATCGTCTACCACCAGCCTCTTTGAAACCATCCTTCATGTATATGAAGACAGTTATTAAATCCCCCTGTGGTCTTCTCTTCTGCAAAGTAAATAAGCCCAGTTCTTCCAACCTTTCTTGTAAATCATTTCCCCCGGATCCCTAATTGTTTTTGCTGTCTTCTTTCCAATTTCTGGAATACGGACTAGTGTTATGGGCTGAGTTCAACCTCAGTGAAATGAAGAGGGTATTAACCACCTCTCTTCTCACACAATTGTCAGAAATGCATAAGCTCCTATATGAAACACGGAGAGCTGAAACAATAGCAGCATTCTCCCAGAACACAAGCTTAGGTCCCCATTGCAAGGGGCTTCCATTACTTATTGTTTTAAGGGTTGTGTGTCCATTAGAGAGAGGCAGAAAGATCCAAGACCTAGAAAAAAAAACACTACAAAATCCAGGATACAGCCAGTGTAACCAAAGGTCCTTAGAAAATCCATTAGAGCAAGTGTGTGCATGCACTTTTTGGTTGGGAGCTGTCGGGAAAAGAGAGTTGGAACGGTGAAGAAAGCTAGTTTCGGGCTGTTTTATTTCTGCCGTTTTCAGGGAAACGGGACTTGGTATATTGCTTGCAAGCAAATGGGACTACCTGAGAGAGACGCTTGACATGATCACCAGGAACAACCTGCAAGACCTCAATCTTTCGGTCAAGTGCTGGGCTCAAATAGAAGAACAGGGTCTAGCAACAGGGCCTATGCACCGATTTCCTGAAGAGGATGAACAGCCTCCTCAATTGCAAAACCACAGCCCACCCCCAGCTTCCAACTTCCTACCAGCTCCCGGGGAGGAGGACACAGCTCCCGCTCTGCCTGGCACCCTGCCTGAAGGCTGTGATGTGGAGTGGAAGATTTCCTGGCGAGAGTCAGCACTTTCTCAGCCTACACTTGTTGGAAAGTTTAGCATTGCAAAACCTTCTCCCTGCATCCCCCTCTTCTCCTCCCCCTTCCCATAGCCCTGTTCACTAGTGACAGTCTATTCAGCTGAAATTTAATTAAAAGCATCTTCTCACAGGGGCTGCAGCCATCCAGAACCCAACCCACATGCTGATGCGTGCGCTCCTGCCCTGCAGAAGTCCACGATCAATTAATCGAGAGCCTCCTTCTGACCACTGCAAAAAACAAACTGAACTCGGGGCAAGTAAGCGGGTGGGAGCCGTGCGCACGAATAGAGCCCAGGTTTGCAACACTTCGGGAAGTCCCAGTAGCTTTTCACAGAGCAACACAGGTCATTTCCCTTTATACTCCTCATTTGTAAGGAATTTTAATGGCCTGGAGAAGAATTTTGTAAAGAGGGCAAGAGAGAATCACTGACGTCACCGTGCTCGCAGCAAAACCCAGGTGGGAGGGCATAAGGGGGTCTCTACAGAGTGCTTTGTTGGCAAAAAAAAAAAAAAAATCCCATTGCTGTTAGCCTAGTTCCACCCCATCAGCAGTAGCAGCGCGGGCAGCATCATGCAGGCAGGGCTGTAGCATCCACCAGCATTGCAAACACGGGGTCGCAAGCAGGTCTGTACAACACGCAGCTGAAATGCCAAGGGATGCTGGCATCTTATCTGCCCTAGCCAGACGCTGGGGGAGCTGCAGCTGCAGCGGCCGTACTAGGACACACACAGAGGCACAAAAGTTTCCTTCCAATATCAGCTGCTATTCAGGGCATGCTCTCTTCCCCTTGTCCGTGGCTACGGCATGCCTGCTACTGCTCTCAGCCAACGGCTTTAGGGTTCAGCTCAAGGGTTGGAGGCCTGCGTTAGGTTCAAACCCAGCTGCTGGCTTCTGAGGCTCTTTGCTATGTAGACACGACACTGAGTAACCTCTGTACCCTTCGAACAGATCTCCACCTTGCCTTGAAGAAGGAAGAGGTCCCCATGCTCAGCAAGGAAAGGGCAGACGGAGGAAGTTCAACCCAGCCCAGAGACTGGGCACGCATGTCTCGCGCTGGGTGTGCATGCCCAGATGTTCTGCTTTCCCACACTGCTGCCATCCCCTGGCAGGGAAGCTTTGCCAGCTGCAGAAACAGCAGCCCTTCCTCCCGAGAACTTGTGTATGCAAGAGCAAGCCCACTGTGGCTTGCAGGAGGGGGGAGCAGCGGAGCCTGTCTGCAGTGCCAGGCAAGCTCCCACTTTGTCTCCATCCTTTAAACTCTTCTGACAAGTTAAAGGCTGCCAGTGCTTGCCTGTAACCAACTGGGAGGAGCTGTGGGCTTGTAGCTACACTGCACCACCACTTAATGCACAAGCTTCACATGCTGTCACTTCATAACAGCGGCAAATATATAGGAGAGGCCCCGCTTGGCCTGGCAGGGTGGGATAAATCTGCTATTTCTCCCATCTAGCACTGTTAGAGCATCATTTGTCAGGCTGTCATCTCCGACCTGTTGGCCAAAACGGCTAGGAGTAAATCCACAAGGTGCAGAGTTTTGTGGGGGTAGCCAGAGTGAGGACGGGGAAAGCAGAGGGACAGAGAGAAACGGGAGGGAAGGTTTGCCTCTTTCTCCACTACAGATGGCATCCTATGGACACAGTCGAACTGTCCACCCGCGCACACTAATACAGGAAAACAGGTGAACCTCTCTCACCTACAAGCACCCCTAGATATGCTCACACATGCACCTGCAGAAAGGCACACGGAGAAGCATGGGTTTTCCTTTGCCTCTTGGTGTTAGGCGGGATTGCTGTGAGCTACGGTAGCTGCCATGCACCACCCCAGAGCCAGAGGGAGCGATGAAAGTCCTGCACAGCGAGCATACAGTTCTGGCTGAAATGAGAGGTCTGCTTGCATGGACAGGACTGCTAGAGAGTCAGTGCCCAGAACATGCAGGGTGCACGCAATGGCAGCGCGAGCTACTCCTCCACGGCCCTACTCGGCCTTCGGGCTACCTCTAGAAAGAAGGTATACTGTGTTTTGGCCTATCCAAACCTTCATCCCCAGGGAGGTCATTTAGAGGAGCTGAGGGAGGTGGACACTGGGTCCTCCGAAAAGTGGAATCAGAACCTGCAAAATCATTTCACTCGGGGGTTTCAACTGATGCGAGATGAGCTGAGATGCGAGCTAGTGCCGACAGAAAATAATATTTAATGCCAGGCACCCCGCAAATCTACTTCATCAAATGAGAAACACTCATTTCTCAGACGCCCCGAGATGACAGATTTGATTTGTTCAGCGTGCTAAGAGTTAAAACTGGTTTGATTCACGCATTAAGGGGCTGAACTTAAAAGGGAGGCTTATCACTTGAGCTGGGCAGAACTTTTTGATGAAAAGCCCTTTTCACTTGTTGAAAACAATTTTGGTCATGATAAAACCAGATTTTAGTTTAGAAAGCTGCGGGGTGGGGTCATCAACAATCCTTTGTATAAGGAAGGAGGCAGGATAGACATGCACCCTATATCCTAACTAAATCAGAGGTGCTTAAGCTCAAGCTCACTTCGCAGGAAACCTGATTTGGGGCAGATTTTTCTTCCTGGAGAATTTGACCAAAATGGAGAAACGGTTTGTCCTCTGTAGGGGGAGGAATCCTTTCTGGACCAACTCGCACGCTTGCATCTGGGTGAACCATTGTGTTTATCCACCTCTGCAGAACATTTGGAAAGATATAAAGGACCTCGATGCAACAAACCAACGAGATGCGTGTGATCTGAGCTGCTCCCCGTCCTGACATCTCACAAACACTCCTTCCGCGACACGCTAAGCGCGAGGCTTCCCGTTTTAACCTCTGATTAATGGGCCCGCACACCCAGCGCCCCTTCATCAGGAGACAAAGTGCCGAGGGCTGGTGAAGGGGGTAACTTGGAGGAAGCAGAGCTGTAAATCCAAAGATCATATTAGGTTTTAAAGTCGCCTTCTGCTGGCTGGACGCATCTCAATAAAGCTTGGAGATGTACTGCCGGTTGCCAATGTGTATACGGCGGCAGTAGGTGCGGGCCGCTGCCAAGCTTTAAAAGACCCCAGTTTGCTTGATCAAATGGACTTCCTTGGCTATATGTTCTAGGGGACGAGGAACATCAATGGGCCAGACTGGCACAGCCCTAAATCAAGAGAAACTTGACTGCGAGCAGCAGAACTGCCCTACTCGAAGAGGAAAATCAAGACCAGCAAGCTAGAGCTGCAACTTAGGGAGGAGAGTGTAAATTTGATCTAACTCATTGGTATCGCTCCAGATCTACACTAGTGTCAGTGAGAACAGAATTTAGCTTGGCGACTTCTCATTGTTTTCCCCCTTGGTTTCTCCAACACAGAGCCATGGAGACTGTATGCATGCATCAATATGGGCCAGAGCTTGAAGATAAATCAAGGCTAGGTGTGCCAGGAGTCAAGTGCCAAACCAGAAGCCAGCTGGTCCAATGCGTTTCACGCCAGCCGTTCCCCTTGCAACACCCATGGCTGCACCCAGCAAGCCAAATCTATCCCCAAAGCTCGCAAAACCCTCTCCTGACTCCCGTGGGATGGTGCCAATACGTTATACCCCCGAATGCAACTGTTAGGCTGAAACAATTGAGGGCTGATTGCGGTGGAGCTGTGGGGGACAAAAAGGGAGGCTCCAGCCCATAGTATCCCGTGGGAAGGGATCTCCGTTCAGACAGACCAGACTCAAGGCTAACGAGCACAGCACGGGTGGGCATGGCTCCTCAGATCCTTGTATAACGATGGCCATTAAGCATCAAGTAACACAACTGGGGCAGACTCTCTGCTTAGATAAAGGGGGAAGAGGCTCCTGCTCAGTTCCCAGAGATTAATACCAGGGAGCTCTATCACCAGAGGGACGAGTGGAAAGGCAGGGAGGATCGTTTGGAGGAGCAAGGAAGGAAAAGAGACTTGCAAGAGTGAGGAGGAAGTGGTGCGGAAATGGGCCTGTATGTAGCTCAGGGAGAAGGGTGCATACCAACTCTTGAGCCTCGGGTTCCCACTTCTCCGCGAGCCGAGTCAAAGAAGCTTCTCCCGTCTCTATTTTTTGCATGTTATGCCCTGGTCCCCCTACATATTTTAGTCCGTTCTGTATCTGCGGTGTGAACCCCGAGGACTGTCTCTTCTCTACATACGGCACCCAACACGATGGGACTCCAACCCTAACACTGGGGACTTTGGGTGCTGCTAGAGTAATCCAGATGTTTGCTCTGCACTGGGCGCTGCTAGGATAATCCAGGCGCTCGCTACTACACCCAGGCAGTGAGATTGCTGGAGGGGGTAAAGCACCGACTACAGAGCTCACTGCAGCCAGTGACAACAGGCAGTATTAAGGAGCTACTTGGCATGAGTCAACCACTTAATAAAAGATCCCAGCCAAATGGAGCTGTTAAGTTATAACCCTGGGGTTTAAAGAGCCAGAAACTGACACCGAGCGCTGAGATACGTAGACAGCTTCTTAATCCTCAATTCTGCACTGGAAAGCATGGTGCCCCCGAGATGAAAGGGGCAAGAGATTTAGGGCTCTGTGAAAAATCCAAGCCTTGCATAGAAGAGAAGGGATGAATAATTTAAGGGCAGGTCCAGCTCTGGGAATTCAGCAGGTGTTTTTGCTGAACTTGTTAGCCTTCCTGGGGATGAGCAGAGGGGATCTGGTTGCCCTGCCTTAATTAAATCATAAGAGAAAATGATGGAGTGGATAAAAGAGAAAGCGCAGAGTGGCTGAGAGCCGCTAAGAGTCCGTGCTAATGACGGCTGATTCCGCGTTAGCATGACTGCTTTTGGTGAGCAGACAAAATGTGCTGAAGCACAGGCTTTTGTCAAGCGGGGCCCAAGCACAGCTGTGAATAATTGAACAATATTCATGTCAGAAGAGTCAGCAATTTATCGTTGGCTTCCTCCGCACTCCCTGAAGAAGGCGAATAGCTTTCAGAGAGCAAAAAGAGGAA